TGTGCTTTGCCAACAGTGGGTCATCATACTGAGCAACGTGTTGGATGTGTTTTGCCAACAGGGGGTCATACTGAGCAACGTATTGGATGTGTTTTGCCAACAGGGGGTCATCATACTGAGCAACATTTTCATCATCATCCGCACTCAAATTTTCCTGATGGCCACGAAGGGCCAAATTTTGTGCAAACAGAAACTTAATACATGTGAGTATTCTTTGCAATATGTCTCGCCAACCTTGTTTTCCCAAATGAATATGAGCTTGAACCATTGCGTCAATTCCTTTCGTTCGGCTTCCTATCATGTTGTAAACGCTATGCTGTGGCTAGGATGGTTTTTATGTAACTTAAGTTGTTGCGGCTTTCTCCACTTGTTGAAACCGTTTTTAAACTCAAACGAATCTCGTAAGTTGGAAGTCGATGGTGTAAATAATAAACAACATAATCAGTAAGCAGCTGTATTGATTTGTGAATATAATAGCCACGAACGATTTACTTCCTCTCCATTCGCTAGTCAGCGTTTAAACCATGCTGATGTAATTGAACGTTCTCCACAAACTGATGATAGATCATTTGTGTGCTGAAAAGGTATTAAGGATCCGAGAGTAGTCATTTCATTGTGAAGAGACGGTGATACTTTCGATAGCTTTGTTGTTTTGTCAAATTCTAAGTAACCAACATCGTGAAACCTTAGTACAGCAGGAACCACATCATACTGAGTATTTTCAGCTTCTCTATCAGAAAGTTCTTCTGTCTCATCTTCCCCGTTACCGTCAACAAGTTCATCTTTATGTTGGACCTATTTAAAAACGACATCCTGGTCTTAAGTATTTTCGGAGTTTTTTTTCAGCATATAGGCCTACAGAAACATCTGTCTGAATCATGTTTTTCTCTGAGACCTCAATGTTTTCAATATTATCGTCTACATGCTCTGAAATAGGGGCTTGGTAACCGTCATCTTCTGATTAAGAAGAATGGGAGTTTGCAGCTCCAGCTTCTTCTTTCTTGGCTGTCTTTAAAAAGCTAGCTTGTCATGTAGGCCTACTAGGACTGATTTTATGCCATTTCGGCTTCCTTATTTCTTTTGCGACATTGGGCCCCACTTCTTTCTCTTCCTGACCAAAAATTATACATTTTCGATATTTTATTACATTACTGAGTGCAATGAAGTGAAATAATAAGTTAATAAGTGTAGGGCTAAACAATATCTCAGTGGCACTGGTATATTGCTACTACAATAAATCATTACCATTATATGGTGCTATGGATGTAGATTAAAGTGTACAACTTATACACCTAAAGGCAGATTATGCTCCAGATATTAAAAAAGGCTGCGACTATTCGCACCCGGGTACCAGAAGTGAGAGGTTGGGGATTAAAAACTATTTAAAATTTTATTGTTGGGTTTGTAAGACGAAATGAGGTATACAAATGAAAGATAATTGAATGGACTATATGTTTGTAAACTTAATTCTTCAGTTTAACTAAAATAAACTACCACAATGAGATAAGAGTGATAATTTGATCAGTTTTTAGAATAACAAAGCCATATAGCAGAGAAAAATAAGTCACAACTTCCCGCCTATACTATAAATGATAGTAAGATTATCTTGGTGTCATCGGAATTCTGAAAGCCAGCTCTTTCCAAACCAGATGCCATTCGTTTATGTCAGGACGTATTTGAACATTTGAGTTTGAGTACCCAACCTTAGGGCAGTTCAACCAAAGTTTGATCATAATATCACTGCATCATTCAGTTCTGTGCTCAAAACTGAGCTGAAATGATGAAACTTATACATTACATAAAAGGCATCGTTGCAGTATCCTCTGTTTAAAAGATTTCCTGATTTGAAGTAAAGTGCAGAACATGCTGATTTGCTTTTGCACAATGATGAACGATGGCTTGGCTAATAAGGACTAGTTATGGAGTGCTTTTGGACTCTTCGTAGGATTGTGATTCTCAAAACTGTGAAGTCAAAAAAAAAAAAAAAAAAAAAAAAAAAAAAAGGCTGGGGATTTTTGCACTAATATGGACAAGATGTTATCCTCTGCTTTGTTTGTTGGACATTACTTATTAACTTAAGCTTAAATTTGAGGTTGCATGTTAATAAGACTATCAGGGAACTTCCATCAGAAATTTGTATTTGTCAGTGATTAGGAATCAAGTCAGCTGATGCAGTTTCTAACAGTCCATGATTATTAGACCCATGTTCATTTTCTGCACAGAAAAATTACAATATGAGTTTTCAAACCGATGTAAAGACCACAAAATTCTGTCCCTGGGTTACAGCTGTAGAGAAGGCTCTGCAACTGAATATCTTAAAGAAATAATTTCTAAACATGTATCCTTAAATAACTTGCGCTCTTAAACACAGTCCTTACTGCGTGTTCCCAGCGTAGAAGGACACATAAATAATGCATGCAGAGTGCGCTCTCTTAAAGCTAAGCGCCTAAATTATGAACAGTTTGTCCCAATCTTTGAGGAAAATTGAAAATGATAAAAAATCATTTAAGAAACATTTAAAAACTTTTTTTCTGTAAAAGGACATCAGAGTGCTGTGAGCATGCTAAAATAGCATGGACACAAGCGACATAAAAGTATTCAATCATCATCAAGGATGTTGCATGACTGTCAGCAATGGTATTGGACAGCTGCTGCAGCTACCTTTCCCACAATTAGTAACGCTTGAGACAGCAGATGCTGGGAAATTATCATCTGAAACGGAATTTCGTGACCAAAACTTAAAAAATCTTCTGGTGCAAATCCGATGCAGAATTACATTGTAGAACAAACAAAATACAAGCAGTTAAAGTTTGACAATGTTTGGATAACTGTTAGATCACAAACATATTGGAAACTCAATGTAACTTGCGTTGATGTCATTAATTTCATATGCTGGTGACCATTTTGACCAACAGACCATTTTGAGTATTAAAATAATAGATTTAAATTTAATCAAGCTAATGAACTAAAAACAGTTTTAATTTTCAGTATTATGAATGATGATAAGACTGAGCTGATCCCCATTGCTACCGTTCAGAAGCAAAAATCTGCAAATAACACAACATCACTTACTCTCTCAGGTGTGCGTATTGAGTTAGCTCAAACAGTGCAGCACCTTGGTGTCTACCTAGACAGAACACTAACTTTGGAAAGTCACATTATGCAAAGCGATTTTTCTAGAGCTGCGCAGGATTAGTCACATCAGGGCCTTCTTAACAATTGATGCAACAAAGAGGCTGATGTCTGCATTTGTGCTATCACGCATGAATACTGCAATTCTCTCATGGTGGGTCTTCCAGCTATGCTCCTGGATAAAATTCAAATAGCACAGAATAATGCGGCTCGCATTGTTCTTTGCAAACGTAAGTTCGACCATGCTAAAACACTTCTGAGAGAGTTGCATTGGCTGCCGGTCCGCGCTCACATAGAGTACAAAATTGCAACTTTGTGCTACCGCTGCTTACATAACCTGGCGCCGTCCTATCTCAAAGAGCTGCTGACGCCTTATGTACCCACTAGTCAACTCAGCTCATCTGATAGTGGCAAACTCTCGACACCACGTTTTGCCTTGAGACTTACGGAAAGTGCACTTTCGCATTTGCTGGCCCAACAATTTGGAACGCCCTTCATGTCGCTCTCAGAAAAAAACCAGACACTGGAGTCCTTTAAAACCTATTTAAAGACACATCTATTTCGCAAGCACCTTCTGGGATGATATTGTCTACCACATTTTCCAGTTAATGCATATTGGCTATGTTGCTTATGGTTGAAATGGGTAGAAAGACTTTGACTTGGTATGGTTGTAATTAGTTTTTGTAGTGTTGAGTTTGTGATAAATTATAGATGTGGTTGACTTTGTACCGGGCTTCGAGCCTTTAGGGATGAAGCGTGTCTTTCAAATAAACTTTATTATTATTATTATTAAAATAAAGCTTATGTTAACTGTGATTAACTAGTGTAACTCTAACAAGAAACTAACTTTATTCAAAAATATTAATTCGGCCTATGCAAAATTGTAATCTAAACTTTAGGTCAAATTTTTATAAAATGACATATGTGACATAAAGTACATCATGCTCCAAAGAGGGTCTAAGAAAGTGTGACAGTTAGTGAATCCGGGGTGTGACAAATATAATATGTGACAAAATACTTAAGGAAAACTGCTCTAAGCACTATTTCAGACCTGAGAAACAGTCCTTAAGACACCACCAAAAAACACTAAATGGTATGAACCAATAAATAAGGCCTATAACAGAAACCAGGGAAATAGATATTAAGCTTGGCAGCGTATATAAAACTATAGGTAAGTTTTCCTAATTTTACATTCCCTCCCCATCATAAAAACAAACGAAAAAAACTGCTGCCCTTTGTCATGGTTCCTGCTTGCCCCTGTACCCTATTCATATTGAAGTCTTGGTGCTCACACCAACCATCTAAGACAGTGTATCTCAAAGGGAGGTAACTATTATCAGGCGCTGATCTATGGTTAGTAGGTTTTAACATCCCTTATGAGTATGTGTCTGCACTGCTCTCAACCACCAAGAATATGTTTGGATCAATTTTGAAATGGAAAATACAAAACCATATATAGACAAAATAATTTGTTAAACTCTTTGTAAGTGCACCTGGTCTTTTGACAATTGCATTTTTTTATGCACAGTGATACAAATCACTATCGTAACTTTCCTTTTTTCAGTCTGGCCAGAAAACAAAGTGAAAGTGCTTATTTATTTTACATGCTAGGCTATTCACGTGGAAAATAGTACTATTTAACTCCTTTTTTATTTGGGACAAGAAAATAAGATTGTGACACAGTTTTAAAATAAAATGTTTAAATAATGTTGGAATTAAAAAAATCAACTCAGAATGGTAGACCTGATAAAATTATAATGATTTTTGTTGAGTTTTGATCAATAAGACATATACACCGTATTTATTGGCGTATAACACGCACAGGCGTATAACACACACCATTCGCGCCGCTATGTGGTATATAATATGGGGCCTTAACATTATATCGGGGTATAACACGCACACATCATTTGCCCCCTATTTTCAGGGAGGAAAAGTGTGTGTTATACGCCAATAAATACGATATATATGTTACAAAAAATAGATATAGCTTTTTTGTTAACAACATAAGAAACTAACATTTATAACAAATACGGTACTGTAAAACATTCAACCATTGATGTACATGCACATAAGATTTTGATTAATTAGTTATTGCGTCACTGGCCTGTCATATAAAATAATATAATTATAATGAGATTGATCCTGAAGAACAATTGTGTCTGGTGCACCGAAATTCTGCCTCATTGCTCTTGCTGCCTCTTCAACCTCCATTACATAGGACTGAGGGTTCGGTTCAGACATCATCATTAAATTGTTCATGTTATCTGGAAACAGAAATTGGTGAAGAGTTTTAGCTGTAATGGCATTTAAAAAGTTTTACAGTGTTAATCTCTTACTGATACTGATAACTTTGTAAATATTATCTGTACTACAAGCATACAAATACAAGATGACCAGTTAGGCTAGAGGTGCCTGAATGCATCTGTAACTTCATTAGATTAAAAAAAGTAGAGAAGTAACTTATTTAAAAACATACACTGCTGTTGTTGTTGCTGCACTTGCTGTGGCTGCAGCTGAGGTAGCGACTGCTGTATTGACTGAGGTAGCTGTTGCAGAGTCAGTGGAATGGGCTGGGGGATAGAATCAGGTAACTGGAGTGACAAAGTGGGGGGCACGGAATGAGGTAATGACTGAGCAGACATTTGAGGTAGGGGTTGTAACTGCTGTACTGTTTGCATCTCCATCTGCTGCATTGGATGCTGCTGTATTGGAAGCTGTTGAAGGTACTCAATCTTCGGTTCCTCCTGTAACTGCTCGGGTTGTTCAACTTTACACCTGTGCTTGCTGACACTGAATTTGTACACCTTTCCACACTGAGTACACAGATGACTTGGTTTGGTGTGAGAGTTTTGGTGGGCCTTAAGAGAACCGCTTTCCCTGAATGTTTTTCCACAGCCCTCTTCTGGGCACACATAGGGCAGCTCTCCTAAATAAACATGAAAATATGTTTTTTAAATTTTTTTAATTAAAGGAGTTTAAACCACTTAAGTTAAAATGTCAAAGCATGGTCCTTTTAGATCAGTGGTTCTCAACTTGTGGGTTGCGACCCCTTTGCGGGTCGAACGAAGTTTACCAGGGGAAAACACATATTTATAAAGAAGCAATGAAAATAATTTTATGGTTAGGGGTCACCATAACATGTTGGGAATCATTGTTTTGGATTAATATAAGCCACCTTATAATCTATCAAATAATTGTCATCTATAACCATCTCCAGGACCTCTTAAATCTCCAATTTTTATAAGTTTCAAATTGATGAATTTTAATTTTTTTAAGTTAAATAATTATAAATGATAATTAAAAAATAAGATAAGAGTATGTAGTGGCTTACGTAAACTAGAATGAATTTTCATGTGATTTTTGCGGGAAACTTGACAGTTGAACCGTTGACCACATTCTTCACACATGTATCGCTTCTCTCCTTTGTGAATCTTCTTGTGCAATTTCAAACTCTCAGAATCTCCAAACTGGCTGGAGCAGACTTTACATTCATAAACCTTTTCACCTTTAGAAATATGGGGAAAGAAGTTTAATTTTTAAACATGTCCTTTCAGAAACAAAAAAAAAATGACACTGGGAAATATTTTATTTACTTAGGGGCCATCCTTAAAGTACATCACACTTCGGAGGGGGGTTCTTACGCATCCGTTCATATTTAAACCAAACTATTAAGGTTGGCGTCATTGTCTAGGTGTGCTCAAGTGCTCAGGGGCGTATTACGATCACTAGGTACAGGTGATCATAACAGGGTCTAAGAAAATGTGACATTTTGTGACAAGGGTAGGGAGGGTAAGATTCATATGAGACATCACACACTTAAAGAATTTTTGTTATCATACACATAAAACCTGAAATTGACAGTAATGTTTAACTTGCTGTCATGATGGATGCATTCTGATGGAAGATTAGAATGATAAAGGAAACTTTAAATATCAATTGACTCGATATAGGGGTCATCCATAAATGATGTCACGTGCAAATTTTTTTTAGTTGAAAGTGTGACATACTTTAGAAGGGTCTGAGATTTGTGATAGGGTACATTGTGACAGGGGGAGGGGTAAACATTCTCAAAAATAGTATGAAAAGCTTCATAGATGGCCCTTTATAAGTAAAATAAAAAAATTGGAAAAATTTCAATTTTATAAGTCTGATCTCAGTTAATATTTAAAAAAAGCTCAATCTAGCTTGTATTTGTATTGAAAACCATATCTCCACCATGGCACTGATTCATATAGGTAGCACATGATATTAATACTTCCTTGGTGTTTGGTAAGAATAGCTTGTAGTAGCTGGACAGAGAGGACATATTTAGAAATAATATGGTGATGGTTACTTTTAGAAAAAGGCTGTTCTAGTTGTTTAGATTTGACGGTGCTTAGAGATTAAATGCCGTAAGTTTAGAATTAGAATTTAAATTTTTCAACAATAAAAAAGGCAATAAACGTATTTATAGACTGATAGAATTGTTAAATTTAACTACTTATAAAATATGGCTAAGTTTCATTAATTTGTTACTCCTTTTATCCATAGACAATAAGACCTTGGTGGTACAACAAGTTATAAGATATCAAACGTTTAGCCAACCAATTATTTGTCTTACGCCTGTTATTTCGTACTTTCTTTAAAAAAAATCTAATCACATTAATATTGGATTACCTGTGTGTGACCTTTTGTGCCTGTTCCATTGTTCACTCAAAGCAAATCTTTTGCCACACATTAGACAAACAAATGGCTTTTCATGACGTTGAAGATGCATGCGGGCATTGCTCAGTGTTTGCATTGCTTTACTACAACCATCAAGGGGACACCTGAATAAACCTATTAATAGAGTAGCACAAAATTAGCTATGCTCAATTTCATTTTAAAGAAGAAAATTGTCCATTTTATTGCTGCAAGTGAATTGGAATTTAATTGAATTATTCATTTATGTACTTACCATAGTGCATCTTTGTGTGCTTCAAAACTTTGAGATATGAAGTAAAACCTTCACTGCAGTGGTCAAAGCTACAAGTAAAGGGTTTGAGATTCTCATGTTCAGTAATGTGCTGGCTAAACATTGTTTCAAGTAGAAAAGTCCTTGCACAATCATCGTATTCACATCTGTATGGTGGGTTACCTTCAAATAATGAAAGAAGAACAACTGATGTTACTTTAGAACAAGGTGTGTTTTTTCAGCATAGAAATTGAAAATTATAGAAAGTATTCTTCTGTGTATCCAGAGGAATGATAACACAGGCCAAGAAAAAAAGTTGGTGCCTCAAATGTAACACTTGTTTCTAGGTATATTTGACCTGCTGATTCCAAGAAATGGCAAACATTTTTACTCTTATTAGCTCTAGTTTTTGAGATATTGAAAATATGCTATTTTAAAGCATGAAGCATTACATTATTTATTTAAAGAAATGTGTGCTATATGAAAATGTGCTTTTTTATACTAAAAGAACAGACTTACTGGAGATACTGTATTATAAATTCTACACTAATGAAGTTCCTTTCATTAGAATTTATAAGATAGAACTTACAGGACAATCGCAAATAAGATTCAAACAAAAATCTTCATTACATGTACATTTCCTCTACCTCTGCATATGGCTACAGTCCCATGGTGAAATCTATCCCTTCATTCAAGGTTCTCTTGACACCAATCTAAGTGATTGCAATTTAGTTTTTTTCGCAAAAAGACTAATAAAGACCAGGAAGATGGTTCAATTTTATTTACTGATTTTATGAAAGGTGGTTTTCATGTGTTTTTTTTACCCGTGAACCATTAAAATTCCAGCTTTCATTTTCTCTGTGAAAAGTCCACATTTGGTGTGCATTGAATTCTTTTTTCAAAACATTTACAAACTGTTTTATCAGGCATATCCAAATTTATATATATTTGCAGTAGAATGACTCTATCTTGTAGAACTGAAGCTCAATTGTTTACATTTTTTTTCTCCGACTTCCATAAATTGTTTCTTTCCAAATGTTCATGCTTGGCTCTACCATCTCAAGAGATATGAAACGCAAGGAACCCATGTAACCACTTTGTAAACCAGAAAAAAAGGGGAGAAATCATTTTTAATAGTTTATTGTATTTTTATAGTAATTTATCTTTTCAAAGACTAGAGGGATTGCATGCATTCTTTTTTCATCCTGGGGATTGAACGATTGGACAAAGAAACCCTAACCATTCATTAAAAGAATACAATTCAAACAATGCTTTGACTTACCTAGGTGCCAGTTAACATGATGTTTTAATTCTTCTAATCTATGAAATCTTAGGCCACATCTCTCCGAATTACAAACAAATATACCTTTCTGCATGGGAAAAAAAAAAGAAACAGCAGTAGTGAAAATGGCAAGTGAGAAAATAAATGAACATCTTATCAAAAGCATAATGACACATCTTAACCAGTTAGTGGTTGGTTTCAAAACTATTCTAATTACTCCATAATTTAGTAGACTGAATTGTAGGTGCCTATCTGTTTCTCTGTGCTTAAAAACTTAGGATTGGGCACTGAATGAATGGGGTGAATTTAATATAACATAAGTGAATAGCTCCACCAAACATCACACTGAGATGTCACAAGTCTGTTAAATAACATACAGGGGTGAGGAGTTATGAAAAAATATTATTTGATACCGGGTAATCCCATTGGCAGGTAAATTTATTTATATTTCTTTCATTGCATGTTTTTTTAAAAATAAAAATGATTTTTTTTTAAAAAACATACCAGGTGCTCATTAAGAATTGAGCTCTCATTGTGGAAGGTGTGTATGTGTAACTCCAACTGCTCTGTGTGTGGGAAGGCCAGCCCACAGAGTGGACACATTTTTTCCCTCGGTATAGGCATATGGGCCTTAGCCAGGTGATCACGCAAACTGTCTGCATCCTCATAAACCCTTTCACATTTATCAAATGGGCAGCTAAGCTTGCGAGAATCAGGCTCTTCTTCTATAGGGAGGTTTCCACTATTGTGCACCCTCAATTTATGATACCTTAAGCCTCCATCTGTGCTGTACCTGAGACCACAACCCACTTCCGTGCACTCAAATACTTTTTTGTTCAGAGGCTTGTAGTCTTGTATTCCATGATTGCTTGCCATGTGCTGATCTAAAGATCTGCGGTCTGCATGCTCTTCACCACATCCTTCCACAGGGCAAACGAAACTTTGGGGCTCTGTTAGGCATAGAAAAATTGTTTTTCCATATTTAATATACAAACTAGATCATAAAATAATTAAAAATAAAATTTTTTGAAACTGCTGTATACTCTAGTTTTTTTTAAAATATGAAAAATTAAAGCTCACCTTAATGTAACCAAATATAACTAATTGTTAAAAATAAATTTGAAAAAAATAGTTTGTCTTTTATTTATAATTGGAAGTGATATTTAAATAAATGTACATCTTGTTAACCCTAGGACTGCAAATATGAATTAACAAATCATCTTATGTTTCACTACTGTATTCAGTTTGTCCCAAAAATTCATTTAGAAGACAATATTCACCAGAATGTTTCTTCAGATGCATGCGATAAAGCATTTTATGTTTGAATGTCTTTCCACAAAATTCACAGCACAATGGCCTCTCAGATGTATGACTTAGCATATGTGCTTGCAAGGCATTGGAAGAGATGTAAGCAGCTGAACACCCATCCACATTGCATCTGAACGGACGTTCTCCTAATTGATTACAAGTTACATTTATAAAAAAAAATTAGTATTGTCAAAGACAAATTACAAGACTAATTAAAAAAAAAAAAACAGAAATAAAAATTGAAGATAGAACTATGGAACATAGAATTGATAAAAAAAAACAAACTATCACTCATATTTAAAGAACTCATTGAAATGTCTTGGCATACACTTGGAATTTACCTACTCAAGTTAAAAAAAAAAAAATGAAAATTTTAATAAACTAAACAAAATGATTCATTCATCTGCACTATCTTGAAAATGTGTGTTGTAAATCCTAAATTTCTCCAACATATTAGTATTAATAATGAAATGAAACTGATATTTACCTGTATGGGAACGCTTGTGCATGGTGAACTGACAAGGTATTCTGAAGGCCATGCCACATCCAGGTTCAGGGCATTTATAAGGTTTTTCTCCTGTGTGCAGCCTATCGTGGCACTTAAGATCATATTTGCTTTTGAAGGCCTTTCCACATTCTGGATAAGTACATGGGAAGGGGAAGTCTCCACCATCATGAAACTGAAGGTGGCGCTGTTTAAAGACAATAGAGAAAGAAAACCTTGCAGAAAATTTAATAAATAAGCAAGGAACATTTAAATTTTTTTAATGTATTACCAAGTGGGACAATAAAACAAGCCTGCAAAATATAATTCATAATCGATTAATTGTTTGGTAGAAAAATTAAAAGAATTAAAAATACCTTTAAACTACTGAGAAGTTTGAAGTTTTTATCACACTTTGGACATTGATGGGGTTTTTCAGCTGTTGAAAAAAAAAATTTTTTTAGTTAATTTCCGCAAGCATAATAACTTGTTTAGTCTAAGAAAATGTTAAATATGTAAATCATTTTTTTTTTTAAATTGATAAAGGTAACTCCACTAATAACATAGCTAAATTGACTACATTATGCTGCTTATTTATTTGATACTTGTTCTTGAGAAGTGATGCTGTTAATTATTCTTTTGAATTTTAGAATATATATTTGACTATTCTTCATTCAAAAAAATATAGATCAGATTATAATAAAAACAGTCTATAAATTAAAATTGGTATTCTCAAATTTTATATGAAAATGACAAATTTATTGAAAATCAGGAAATAATTTTAAAGATTACAAGGATGTTCTGATCCTTACAAGTGTGAGTCAGTCTATGTGCTTTTAATTCCTGATTGCCACGAAATCCGCTACCACACTTGTCACAAATGAATGGTCTTTCATCTGTGTGTGATCGAACATGTAGCTCTAGCTTGCTCTTTCCTGAAAAACTTCTAGAGCATCCTTCAAATGGGCAGATAAAGGGTTTTCCAACTGTTGACAAAAATAACAAACAAAAAATCAAAATAATACAAGGAATAATATCTACATATTAAAATGCAGTCCTGTCATTTATTTTCTTCATATGCATATCAAAAAGTGTAGAGAATACTAGCAAATATTGGTATGAAATTATTAAAAATTTATATCCAAATGAAAATTCAGACAACACCTGCAACGTGGAATGCATAAAAAGCACAGTGAAATACAAAATGAAACACTGCTGGAATTATATCACATTGATCCAGTGGCCATTTAAATGTATACATCCATTTGTTTTCTGTCAGAATCAACATTACCTTGTATTGGTTGTAACACTTTTATCAGTTCAGCTTATTTTTGATTGCCCTTAATGTTTCAGAAAGTAAGTTAAAATTATAAATTTGCTTAATATTTAGTGAAATTAATAAATTCAATTTATAATTTTCATGAAGAGCTTACATCTATGATAATGCCTGATGTGGTTTTCCCAGAAAAATTTAGAGCTAAATATCCAATCACAGTTTCCTTCCCCGCATATGTACGCTTGCTCATCTTTCACATCTGCTAACTTTAAAGGCTGGAAGAGAAACACATAAAAGTGTGAAGTTTGGTGTTTCACTTTACATCAGGTCAACTTAAAATTTAACAAAATACTTCAAATAAGACAATGTTTTACATTGAAACTTCATGCATAGAAACTGAAAGGATTTGAAAGAAAAATTTTATAAAAATAAAAATAAGGAACTAATTTTTATTCTTAAAAGCAAGAATTTTAATAAATTGATTAAAGATTCATAGTTGAAGGTGTATTTCAACTGAAATCACTTTCCTTTTTAAAAAAAAAACACATTAATTTTAAATTATATTTTAAAGTGGTTTGATGAATTATTTACACAAAAAAAGAAAATGTTAATGCTTTAATAGTTTGTGAAGGACAGCGATAAAGATTATTAGGTTAATTCAAGTGTCACAACATTTTGAAATATCAATGCCTAGGAGACTCATGGTGCATTCAGAATAAGGATGCAATTAAAGCACTTTTATATTTTTATGTCTTTGACTCTAGTGATGTCACCATTTAAACCACTTACTTGAGGAGATTTGATTAAAAGTAGTGGATTGGCCAATATTTCTGCAAGTTCTATCAGTGAGGGGCTTCTGGAATTATCATTCTGATCTCTACTCTCTGTTTCTTTATCACTGATAATATCAGTGGATGCAGCCGTGCGATTTTGAGATGTATTGACTTCAGAGCTCAATGACAAATCTGTATTTTCATTTATATTGTGCTGTGATGCAAATGAGGTATTTGTGTTTAATGAAATTGCACTGCATTCAGCAGCCTCTTTGGAAGAGTAGACATTTTCTGTGAGTGGCCTCAGAATCTTCTCATTATTTGTAATTATGTGTAGGCCTACTTTTTGACAGGGTGTGTCATTTTCTAAACTGGTTTGATGTGAAGACACTGCAGTAGAACATGTGACGTCCAGGTTGTTTGAAATGCAGCAGTTGTCATTATTTTCAGAGTCTTGCTGGTGGTGAAAATCTTTTCCATTATCAGACACTTCATTTCCATTATTGGAGCCAACGATGTTTTCATGATGAGACATGCTAGAATCACTGTCACTACTGTTATCTTTATCTTGGCTACTTTCTTCATCTTTTAATGAGGTGATTGGAGTTAGACAGATTTTCGGTACCTTGTTGTTAATTTTTACCAGTGTTAAAGATGCTATTTTTACTGCTATTCTTTCTGCTACCGGAGGAAGCTTCTTCTTTGGGGGATTGTGAGCTGTAAAAGAGAAAAGAAATTATAATTTTCATACACAAACTAGAATAAATTTTAAAAAATTCTATGAATGGTTAAAAGCAATAAAAACCATTAGGCCTACTTTTTTTTAGCTGATATTAAAATTTATCACTAATCCCTTTAATCAGGATATCTGAATGATATTTTTTATTACTAAACTTTAGTTAAAAAATATATTTCAACATTCTATGCATTCTTTATCTAAATCTTTCCATCATCATCATCAGTGGCGCTACAGCCCATGTAGGGCCCTGGCCTGCTTCACCACATCCTTCCATACGGATCGATCCATGACCTTAGCCTCCTTGGGCGAACCCCCAACTGGTGGAAATCCTTCTCCACATCGTCGAACCATCTCAGCCTTGGGTGACCAGTGAGTCGTCTGCCCCTAGGTTTCTGCCTGTATATCACCTTTGCTGCTCTACATTCTGGCATCCTTTTGCTATGTCCTGCCCATCGCAGTCTGCCTTTTTTTATTGTTGCGACTAAGGGTGGGTCTTTGTACAATTGGTATAGCTCTTGGTTTGTATGGATTCTCCAGATATCATTTTCCATCATTTGGGCCGTATATTTTTCTGAGGATTTTCCTCTCCCGTGTATTGAGAAGGTTCTCTGCTTTTTTGGTAAGGGTCCAAGTCTCACTATCGTAAGTTACTACTGGTCTTATGATAGTAGTGTATATTGTCGTTTTTGTTCCCCTTGAGAGGTTTTTGCTTCCCAGTAGCTTTTGTAGGTTGAAATAGGAACGGTTGCCTGCTGCTATCCTTTCTTTCACATAAATCTTTCCAGAGGAAAAAAAAGAGAGCTCTTGAATAAAATTGTTGCATGAACATAAAAGCAACAAAAATGTTCTTTTTACCTTGATAATCAATGTCCAAGTCTTGGTCTGATCCAGAATCTCCATCCTCTGTGACAGGGTCTGATTTTAAGCACATCTTTGATTTCACTCTTTGAATAGATTTTGCCACATCTCGTTGAACCTTACGAATGTTATCATATGTCTGTCTTACAACCAAATAGCATTCTCTACAGATATAGCTGCGACCAAATTTGGTAGCTGATTTGTTCTGAAGTGCCACTAATTCTTCACGTCCCATTAAAGCTTTGAATTTAGCTTCAAATTTTGCCATAAATGGCCTACTTCCACCAAACATAAATAGCCTGCCACCTTTCCTGTTTTTAGTCCACACAATTTTGCACATAAGGCAAACAATAGGAGGTCCCTTTTCACACTGGTGCCTAGATCTATTGTCTTTGCCTTTACTACCATCTGATGAATTGCCATCTAAGCTATTTGCTGTTATGTTGCTACAATCTTCTGAGTTTTCTTCGCTTTCAGGCTCCTCTTCACTTTCATTGCATAAATCCATTGTTGTAACCCTGAAATTCAGGTGAAAGAAAAAGTAAAAACAAGAGTCATAGTCTTAGTGATTTTGATATAGAAATTAGAATTATGATTTTAAAAAGAGACAACAAAAAAACCTTAGGCCTAGGCCAATCATATAAAAGTTTAACTGAAAATTTAATCGCACACCATAGTCATACAAAGGCATAATAGGGCCTTAATGATATAAAGGAATAAGACTGCCTTAATCCTTAATCAAACAAGGGCATAACTATGTTTATATGGTGCCTATTGTTATAGTTTGTATTCTCAAAATTAAATCAGAATAATCCGACTTCTTAATTGTATGTATTTTAGAATAAATTATTTTTGAGTCAATCATCACAACTTGCCTTAAGACTTGAGTGATTGTTACATTGTAGACCTACTAATTTTTTATTTTATTTTTATAATAAGCCTAGCAGCAGTCTTTATTGACAGTGCTTTAATTAAATATGCTTAATACTTATTTTATGTATCTGTTACAGGCAAAGTTTGCATCTGTTACATGAAAAGTGTTAAATCCAAGCATTCTATAGATGCCTAGGCAAAGTATATAATGTCTTAATTATTTCACACTTTGATGAGAATTGTCACGGCATCCTATAGCCTATAGAATGCCTGCCAGGACATAGGCAAAGTATTTAATAACATTAAAAGGGAATTAGACATACAAATAAACAGCATAAAAACAATCTGGACTTGTATGGCTATTACTATTTGAATCACAAATACTTTGCAGATCACAAAGTAAGAGTAAGATGCCTGCAACTGAATACTACACTCTACAACATAGAAATTATAGAATTAATAGAGTGAACATTATTAATTTATCACAAGTAACCCTCCTTTATTTTTACATTTCGTCTTACCGGTAGTCGGTAGGCTTTGCAAAGTAAAGAGCATCAATGATCAACAATGATCAATCAAACACCGCCACCACACCACGTCCACTACAGTCTACAGCAACAACATTCTATTTCTGAACTTGCTTACTGAGTCTGAGACCGAGTGTAACACAGTAACACTAATAGTGGTTAGTGACTAATACTAAAACTAACACTAGCGACTAACACCTACAATGATTCATCAATGCCTACGCCTACACAACCTAGCTGTATGTAAGCAATAACTTAATAAGTGTGAGAGGGGGGGGTAATAATAAGTAAATAAGTTTAACAGTGAACAAAATAATATCAAAATCAATAACATCAAACAATTTCAATAATTCATTCATAATTCATACCACACAATATAATATATACAATGCTCATTCATTGAAATTGAATTAATGATATTGACAATAATGCTTATGACTTATGACAAGTTATGAAATGATTGATTTAAAATTTGCCAATTATAATAAATGATTTTGTCATAAACCCCTTACTACGAATCTTTTTTTAACCAATTACCTATATGTTACGAAACAATATTTTATTTAAGTGGCTACCTTGTCACGAGTTTTACTTTTTCTACGAATTTTCAATAGAAAATTGACAGACGACTCCTGTAATGAGTTACCCACAATGCACACGCCCACAGCAGTCGTCTAAAAATAGGGGCCGTGGTAAGGTTTCCCTCCCGGGGTCCCGCACAACTTTTAGTAAACAAAAGACTTCCCGATAAATTGTACCATCCCGGTTACACGCGTTTAGAATAGGCCTACAAGTATTACTATTCTTATATATATATATTTAAAGATTTCAGCAAGTTACAGATTGTCACAAGTTGTTGCTATAAGCCAGGGCCTGTAACTAGTTCAGCAACTCTTAGTCTCTAGCCTAGACAGCGTTCTGCAAATGGTGGTCCGTGGACCGGCAGCGTCCGTGAGCCCTACTTACGTTGCCGATGAATATTTAGAGTGAAATAAGAAGACTTATAAATAATTAAAATGGAACTGGTCCCTGGTGCAATTTTGAGACTTGTTATTCAATCCGCTAAAGCTACTAGTCTGGGAAACGCTTCTCTAGAACACGTGTTCTTTTTATATTAAGCCATTCATTTAAATTAAGCGTTTTCAAGTCACGATCATTATTTATAATTGTTTAGAAGCAAAGTGAGATCTATCGCGATTTATTTTTAAAAAGCTTTTAAATATGATCCTATTAATGGAAATGAAAACATAGTAAAGCAGATTTTCTCAGCATTGTGATTTTACCATGATTAACATTGTAACTAAAATTATAAGACAACAATTTAAAAAAAACAAAAAAACTTAAACAAATCATTATGTCTCTAACTAAGTATAGCCGAACAAACTCCTCTTACCTTCGCGTTATATAATATGTAAACGATCCCTTAATAGCACACAGTTTACATAACTATACACACAGTACGGGACTAAAACTAATAAATGTTATACATTTCTTTTTAAAGCATCACTAATTTGTTTGTTCAACAGTGACTTTTTGAGTCTTAAATGTAGGCTAATAAAGTTGCCCCTTCCCTTTCATAAAAAAACCCATACAACTTTATAATTTCGACGTAGGTGATGTATAGGCTATGCTACACTATAGTATTCTAATTCTATTTTAATATTATGGAGCCCGGAATCAGTAGAAACCATTAAAACTTTAATGGTTGTAATTGCTTGAAAAGATAATGTTGTAATTAAGCCCCGATTGCAAAATGTTACATTTTAAAGGATTGATGATTTGGGAAAGTTGGCTAAGTTGGTAAAAAATAGCATCCAACAAATCGATAAGAAGATAAGACAAAGTCAAAGCCCAATCATGTAACAGACACCGCTCGTGTCAAGTCCAAGTTGAATATTAAAAAAAAGGTGGTAAAATATTCGTTTGTTCAGTATGAGTTGTGTTTTGAAGCGTGCCTTTTTGAACATCTAAGTTTCCTTTAAGACAGCCCATAATGTGAAATTTGTGTTCCAAAACCGTTCCGAAACAAACCCTCATGTAGGCCTAATGGAAAAAATGCGTTTGTGTGACAATCGATACTAGCGGTACGTGCTAAAAATAACGTAGAAATCACCAACAAGATCATGTGGATTCCCCAAGGAGTCGCCACGTACTCCTCATTTTCTATATTACTGCGCAAATACCGTTATACAGTCAAGTTAAAATAAACATTATTAGTTAATTTAACTGTATTATAATTATCTAAACTGATCATTTTCAGAATTTTAATATGATATAGTGCCATTTTTTAATTATTAATTAATAAAAATGTAGAACTATTTTTTAGGAAAGTTAGTTTCCGGCCCATAGTAATAAGTCTAGGTAAACAAATCGGAAGCACGATGAAAACAATCTTCTGCCGCTATCCGTACCGTTGTTGTTCGTCATTCTTGCTAACTTGAATTGCGATTTAATAAAACTAGCCTTCACATCAGAATCGAAATTTTGCATATTTCATACTAATTATGAAGTTCATGCTAATCATTTGTATTGTTCTCGTATTTGTTATTGGGTATTCATACCAGAAAAACTGGAGTGGTGATGTTGCTGACCGGTGTTTTTGCAAGGTAGGTGCGCTCTAAGTAAATAATAAATACATTGAAACGTTGTAAGCAGTGACACCTGTGAAAATCACCACCCCTTGAGCTTGGGACCGAAGTAAAAAATTAATGGTGCTGTTTGCAGGTATAGTGTTATTTGCAAGTTTAGCCAGAATAAAAAAACAAATTTGTATGAAGACATGGCTATGGGTCACTTTGGCTTTGGACTTTGGAGGGACATACTTTCAATTTAATTTCATTTGTATTATTATTAAGTATTAATATTTAGTATTGTTATTAAAGATATATCCCCCCCTTCCCCCCCTTTCCCGTTCCCGGCTTATTAAGTGCTTGAACAAGACTAAAATGGGCCCCTCACTCACACATGGACAAACGAACCAATAATATAATAATTTATTTATTAATTACATTTAGATGTAATTCAAACATAACTTGCAAAAAAATAATAAATAGAGGAGGGTATTTCTTAGTTCTGTAAAAAATAAACCAATACTATGCCTATGCATTAGCATATAATCCATAATGAAACAATATAGTTATATGCCTACATAACTATAAGTAGTGAATTAAATACTAGATACTGGATTGATTACAAGACAAGCTCATGGCTCATGACAATTATTAAAGTTGAGATTGGGGATGTATGGCATTTTCATTTATATTCTGCTAAATAAAGGTGCTTTCCTAGCCTTTTTTCTGGCAAAGGTGTGAATTACATCACCAAAATTAGACTAGCTACTGAATCTTGTTAAATCTATCAGTTGCCCCTGGGAGATAATCAATCTTAGATAATTTTTTATCAACTTTAGTTTGCAGTGGCAGGAATTGTTAACAGAATACAGAGGAAGACATATATTTGAAAAGAGTCCTTCCAGGTTGTATCTTTTCAACAATCAAGGAATTCAGTAGTTCCAATGGACTCAGTTGGCCCTCTCCAAAATTTGCTTGATGAACAGATGGCTCAGATGGCAAATGACTATCTCTTTTGCAAGATCTTCGCTGATATCAGCAGGATATTGATCTGCCTGTAATTTTGATTTTTCTTTCAGTTCATCTTTAGGAATTGATAGGTACTTACAGAGGAAGCGGAAATTCTCTTTTCACTGCAGCATTGAAACGAACAGTGAGTCCACCAATAGCGTCATCTAATGTTACATAGAAGACTGACTTTCTGAAATATGCTTTCTCTGGGGACTCATCCATTTCATCTTGTTTAGATAAATTTGCTTCTTCTGTAGTTCCTTCATCATGGAATCTCTTTCTTTTGCATTTTGCTTCACCCCCGAGTTCCAGAGTGTTTCACTTTTATGCACAAATTAGAAGCAACATGATTAGCTTTGCTCCACATACTTTTCCAGCTGTTCAGAAGATTTGTCAGTTCTGAAATCAAGCTTTTTAAGTGGGGCACTTTGACATTCAGCATTGCTTTTCTGGACTGAGTAACCTTGTTATCAACTGGAAGTAATACTAGTAATACTCAGTACTATATAACAGACATCATCACACAAATAAAGGATGTGACATAAGGCAAAGCTCCATTAATTTTTTCTTGTTTTGGCAGTTAGGTTCAACTCTGTCAAGATCTTCTTTCATAAGAAAGTTCAGTGTATCAAATGCTACAATCTTCTTTCCTATCACTGGACACATTGTATAGGTTATGAAGTATGAAGGTTTTGTAAATTTAAAAAAAAAATTCCCCCTCATGGTGCCTGGAACAATGTACCGGCTTAACCCTCCTCTTCTCAGGCCTGCCCATCCATACTATTTATCATGCCTATAGGCCTAATATATGCCTATAATATAAAAGCCTCAGTTTATTTGTTTAATCCATGTAACTATCAAAACCATGCATTTTGTCCTGAATATACCACGGCAGTGTACCTAGCATAACCATTGGCTTTGGTCCGTGTACGCTTCAGTGATGCATGCAGCAAAGCCATGGTCTTTCCGAGTCTTTAACTCTTTGGCTTGATCGATACTTGTAAAATTAATGTTATACTCTTGATAAAACTAGTATTTTTTAAATCACTGCAAGTAGAGGCCGACCGAATTTCGGCTTCGGTTTCGGCGCCGAAAGTGGTCATTTTATCACTTTCGGCCAAGTTTCGGTTTCGGCCGAAACTGAAAAGTTAACTTTCGGCTTAATTTCGGTTTCGGCCGAAAGAGAAAAGTTAACTTTCGGTTTTTCTTCGGTTTCGGCCGAAATTGACTTAGACTTTCGGCCATCCGGCCGAAAGTGACTCAGGTTTTTGGTCATCTAATACTCAGTGAAAGCGATATTTATTTATTTATGTAGGCATTTTTATATAGCGCTTACCTTAAAGCTCTAAGCGCTTTACAATTATTAAAAACATGTAAACTAAGTAAAATAAAAATGAGACACTAGGATAGTAACTACTTTACCATAGAAACAATTAAAATGGCTATAAAACGAGGACACTTTGGCACGTTTTGGCCTATACTATACAGGATCAACCTGAGACAGAAAATGAGGCAATTTAAGTGACATTTAAGAACAAACTAAACGATCTTTAAAACAAACTAAGCGATCTTTAA